CAGGAATGAATACACAAGGATAGTTACGTGTATAATTTGTGGAAAATAACTACTGTTTAAACCCCAACCCAAAATGTTGGTTTAAATGCCATGCTGGATGAGAGTTAAATAGGTTCCAGGTTACAGGGAGCCTTGTTAAACTGTGAGCTGCTCAAGTATTGATCAGTGTTAGTGTTACCTTGAGTCTGGGGCAATCACAAGTTCAAGCCATTTTGGAGGACCTAAAGGTAAGAATCTCCCCCTTCACTCCCCCCCATTCTGAACTTCCCTTCTGCCTCTCGGAGCTTCCAGGGGAGCAGACAGGGAAGGATTAAACTGCCTGCCCACCCCTGCCATGGAGCTATTGCTCTTTGCTGGACTGACCCCAGCCCAGAAAGCAGTGGTGGTGGCAGTGGCCCAGCAGGCAGGTTAACCCTTCCGTACCTGCTTTCCTGGGACAGACAGCAAGGGCAACTACAAGTGAGCAGTGGGTAGGGGGTGGAGAGAGACAGCAAGTGGGGAATTAGGGTGCTGAGGAGGGCGGGGGGGAAGTGTGCCTATTGCTGGCCAATCGGGGAGGAGGGTGGCTGGGGTGTTTACACAAAGGTGTAGCCTAGAGTGGCTACACATTGGTTTAACATGAGCTGGGTAACATGGATCCAAGATAAACCTATGCTAGAGTAAAGTAAGTTTTACCCACCTAAGGAATGCTTAAAACTAGTTTCAGATGTTAATGTGTGGACAATCCAGGGGTTAAGAGCTCCAGGACCCACCTAAAATTAATTACAAGGCCCAGCGACAGAATTTCCTCATGCCCTGCTATAGTCTCAGTGTGCTATTGGACTTTTACCAGCCCTAAATGGAGAACTAAAGATTCTTTCAGCATGGCAACTTAAAACTCTCTATATAAAACTCCAAAGTATGCATTTACATGAGTATTTTAAGCCATGCACCAGACCCTCTTCAGATATAGAAGTATTGGAAGGACTAGCATTAGGGTAATAGGAGCATTCCCAGGCTAGGAGAATTATTCCCAGGGCGCCATTCCTAATAGCTTGATGTAGAGCAAGTCCCTGAGACTGTCTACAAACTATGGCTACAGTGCAAGGAGATGCACCTGAATAAAACTGCTTTGTCACCTTTCCTACCTGTTTCAAACATATATGGCACAGCTGAATATTGAATCCATTTGATGGTTCCAACTCATTTCATGTTTTAAGTCATGAGTAAACAACTGAATCTGCTATATATCAGGCACTTCATGATATTTTAAATAGTCTAAATAAATAATAACATAAACTTTCAAAGTTGTTATTCTCTATCACAAAAAGAATGTGCATTTTAAATTGTCTACATAACTATTTATTTGAGAAATGGGCTATTACAGTCTATCATATCAATAACCTGGGTTTTAAAAACTTCCTAAATAGGTATTTATATCATAGGACCTAGTAATTCTGAGGGCTGTTTGAAGCAGTTGGCCCAGTGAATTGCATTTAAAACGCCAAGCTATACGTTTACATGAGCCCATAACAGCTGAGACTTGACAACTCCCATACATTTCAATGAAACATTTTCATTACTTTTTCATTACTCTGAAAAGACAAAGATCACTGAGAAATCAAAGGAAATTAAAACATGTCCCCTTCCCCTACCTGATTAAAATGTAAATATTATTAATATTGCAATACAACCTGTGACAGACATGATAGGGAGAAAAATAAAGGCCTGTGCATTGGATTGAATGTTTTGCTAAGGGTTTGTTTGTTTTTCTCCTGCCTCCCCCTCTCCTTGATTGTGTCCCAAACCTTGCTAATACAATCATTAAAATCTTCATTAAGATAGAACTTTATTTTATATATAAACTTACTCCTGCATATAAAAATCCTTAGGAGGAAAAATGAAGTGTTGAAGTATGTTTCTTTAAATTGTTACACAACAATTCTGGTAGGCCCCAAGACTTCAGTGAAAAGGCCAGATGTACAAAGATATTTAGTTACCAAACAATGCATATCTGCATCTCTAAATCACATTTTAATCAAGAAGAATCAGATGCCTAACCTGGGTAGGTACTTTTGTAAATCCCAGTAGTTGCTTATCTGCACTTAAACACCTTTGTAACTCCAGTCCTAGACCTTTAGGAATCTAATTCTTTGTACAACACACCCTTTAAAGCAGGGGTGGGCAATTATTTTGCCTGGAGGACCACTTAATGAGTTTTGGTGAGATGTTAAGGGCCATATACACACAGTCTTTTAGAAGATATTGTTTTAACAAATTATAGATAAAAAACAAATCATACACTACCCAATCAATTGGTGGATGCCCACCTATGGGCCATACTTTGCCCACCCCTGCTTTTAAGTCAATGACAGTTATATATACACAATAAGGGCAAAAATATTTCATAGTAAGAAAAAAACCTTTTGCTCAGGTTTCCTGTATACTTTTCATAAAGAAGATGGTGTTCTTAGATGCATCCATTGTCTCCTCATAACTGCATTTTAGGAAGCTATTCACAATAATGAGCACAAGGCAGCTTTCATGTTTTCACATCATTAGTACACTTCAGTGAAAGTGGACTTCCAGGCAAATGAGGCTGAAAACCTGTTGTTCATTCCAGTTCTTTTACCTGATGTAGCTCGTATAACTGCTTGGAAAGTGGGAGAGGAAGGGTGGAAAAAGAATACAAACAACTAATCACTGAATTAAGGGTCTGAAATAGTAATGAGGATCACAGAATAATTTCCCAAACTATATATGGAGAATAACATATATCATTATGATTGATTTTTGCTAATGCTATTCCAAGATTAGAGTCAGACATGTCACATATTGAAAGAATTATTAGAAACTACTGGGCATGTTCCTCATAAGACATAGTTAAATCATTTCTATTGTAACCAGCCAGTTTCTGTTTCCTTTCTTACACTTAGATTTGGCCAGGTTTGACTGTGTTCCTGGATTTCACCAATCCAGACTGTGCTGCTTGGTGGGCTGAAGAATGCAAGATATTTCATGTTCAAATGCAATATGATGGGATTTGGATCATAAATTATTCATAACTTTATATTTTGGGGAAATGAAAGCCATTGGAAGCTTGACAATGGCATGTTTCCTTTTTCATTTCCCAATACACTGTAAGGGCTTTATTAAATACTTGAATCAAAATACAGCTTAGTATTAGTACTAAGGTACTACTCTTGTAGCTGCAAAACCAGAGACATTTAATGAGATCTATCTGCTACTGAAGCCAATGGGAGTTTTGCTATTCACTTTGATAGGAGAAGTGAGTTTAGTGTTTGTTTTTTATGGGTGTTGCAATGGCGCATCTCCAGTAACTTGACTTCCCAAACTGATAAGTGTGAGTTGAATGTTAAATGTAGTTATTTTTTTACAAAAAGGAGTGGAGGAGAAAAGGAAGAGAGAATAAGATTTTTTTTTTCTTGCTATTCATGGTCCAAGTTGATCATTATAACTTCTTGACCTGCTTACTGTTCTTTTTGATAGTGAATAATCACCAGTATAATACTTTAAAAATAATTTGTAGACAAGTGAAAGACAAGTGAATAGCAAGTTTTAACTAAACAAAAGTCATGTTTTATATACTTTCAGCTGAGATATAAACAGACAAAAATCTGTTAAGCTAAAAGGGACTGTTTCTTCTGGTTCCAATAGACTATATATCAGTCTCATAAAAATCAGACATCCATTGACCTCACTCAGCAAAGCCCTTCTACACATAATTCAAAGTACATGGGTAGTCCAGCTTAAATGTATAACTGGAATATAGGCCCCATTCTCCAAATATTGGCCTTAGCAATGCAATAACTCCAGTGCTAGGTATGGCACTTCAAGGGATATTCTTTTATCCATATTTGCTACCTTCATTCATAGGGATTATAAAAATGTAACAAGCAATTTAAGGGGCACTTATCTTCTGAGTGCCCTACATTGGGCTCTGCCTGAACGCTTGAGAGAGATTGTCCCAACAGGGACACCATATTCGTAGTTCATTATTATCCCCAGTAAAGGGATGATGCTAGATTCAAAAAACAGGTAAGGAACCCAGGAAAATTCTAGCCCAGGGATTGGCTAGGTGACTCTCCTTAAAACTGGAGTATCTCCATGTCCCTGGGGTGGAGAGAGAGAGACATGCTGCATGAAAAGGGCTGGCAAGAGCCTGCAACATGGTCCAACCCCATGGTTGCCTGCTGGACCCTTTGTGGGTGGGCCAGTGGAGTACGTAAAGGGTCAAGCAAAAGAGAGCAGACCCCTAGGATGAGCACAAGGAGTTTGTGAGTGAACTTAACAAATTCTTTAGGGTGGGGACATAGCCCTGGGAACCCTTAGAGAGCAGGAAGATGATTCCCTGCTGAGCTTGAAGACTTGTGGGGGGGCAGTAAGGGTGTGATAGACCTCCGTGTGAGTGGTCAGGGAGAGGACTGTGGTGGGACTGGGTCAGCTGGGCAGAAAGAGACACCAGCTAGGGAAAGGTCCCAGGATACCAGTGTAGGCTTAGATCCAGCGAAACATGACCTGAGGGAAAGCCTCAATGTGCCTAAGTGTCTAAAGGGGGAAGTGAGCCAAGAGGTGCTGCCTGGTTTGCAGTGGCCATTTGCTCTGCCTCTGTGGCTCCACTGTGTAATAGCTCTGTAGGCTTGGAGAGGCCATGCACAGGCAGAGAAGAATTCACAGAGATGCGTGGGGAAGAATTTGTGTTTTTCAGGGGTCTGGAGTGGAAATAGCCTCTGCAGACTGCTAGATGCCTAGATCTGCATGGGTTAGCCTGTGGCAACTGGAGCCTGCAAGTGTGTGATGAGAGGAGTGGGGGACTGCCCCTCCCTCAATCTATTGGACCATAGTCAGAGTGCCTGGCCATTAGTTGTATATAATTAATTAGAGGATTAATACAATGAGTATTTAACATACTGCATAAGTTATTGGTTTTGTATTTGTTTTCCCGACCACCCCTTAAGTGTAAATAGTTATCAACTGTTAGTGTTTGTATAAGCCCATCCTTGTTTATTGTAAGTAGAGTATTTGCAAACTTTTGATTGTATTTAATATTTGTTTGCATATAGCAATCATTTTCTGTATATATATATATATATATAATTAAATTTCTGTAAATATTTACTCCTGCTCTGCAAGGTCTCTCCATTATGAAAGGGAGTCCCTCCTCTCAGGAAGCCTCTGGCCACTCCTAGGTGAGCTGAGCAGGGGTAAAGCTACCTGGCACCCCAGGTCCTGAACATCTAGACATGGCTGTGGGTAGTGGCACACACCAGGGGTTACAAAAATATTAAACAACAGTGACTTTAAGTCCTACTTCTTTTCCTTCTCTGTACAAAGTAATAACAAGGAAGAGATTGATGGCTACTTTAATTCTCTGCAGGACAAGATGCCTGGTGGAGAAGCTGTGAGGGAATGCCCTGAAGCAGATGTTGGTGAGTGGAGGACGGTTACCTCTGGGGCCAGACCTCTTGCCGTAGAAATGCCCTCTCCACCCAGTGCAGTTGGGGAACAAATATAGGGCCCTGGCTGCACTGGAGGAGTGTGTGGTGGGGGAAAGTGCATTGGAGGAGCCTGCCACCATCACTGAGTGAGCTGAGGGCTGGCCAGGTAAGCAGAAGAAGAGATGCCATGTCATCGTTGTGGGTGACTCCCTGCTGAGAGGAACAGAGGGACCCATCTGCTGTCTGGATCCCACAGCACATGAGGTCTGCTTCCTGCCCAGAGCCAGAATCAGGGACATCACGGTGAGAGTTCCTGACCTCATCCAGCCTTCCGACAACTATCCCATGGTCCTCATTCACATGGGAACAAATGATGTGGCCAGGAGTAGTCCACACCCTATCATAAGAGACTACAGGGCTTTGGGGACCAGGCTTAGGAAGACGGGGGTGCCGGTGGTCTTCTCATCAATCCTCCCAGTCAGTGGTCGCAGTAGACATCACGTCACCTGTGCCAGAGAAGTCGACCCGCGGCTGGGGTGGGTTTTGGCTTTCTGGACCACGATCTGTACTTCTGTGCAAGGGACCTCCTGGGACATGATGGGCTTCATCTCTCCCCAAAAGGTAAGGCTCTCTTTTATTACAGGTTGGCTGACCTCCTACGTCCAGCTTGAAACTAAGTACAATAGGGGATGGGGAGGCAGGAGATGGAGAGTCTAGAACCTACAAACTGCGAGACATGCAGCAGTACACCCCACATAAATACTAAGGGGCCCTTTGGGCATCACAACGGGAGGCGGGGGGGCACCAAAGGCATCATTAGAAGACAATGTAATAACCAGGAAATCTCTAAACCTGAGTCTAGAACCTATAGAAGCCCTGGCCTGAGTTAATCAACGCCAGAGACCAACTGTTGGGCTGAATATCTCCAGATCAACCACTCCCAGAGCCCTATTCTAAATTCATCAACAGACTCCCAAACCTGCACGTACATGCGGACGACCCCTGGGGCTGACAGATGCCGTCCAGCAGCCACCGAGGGGGGGGAAGTCCCACGAGGGTCAATGACCCCTGGATTGGGCAAACCTGAAAACTGGGGAGTCACCAAAGTCTGCCAAGGACAGATAAAAGGCAGTGAAAAGTGACCCTCAGTGGCGCCCTCTTGATCTCCAACTCGACCAGACCTGTCCAGCCAGAAGGACCAGCCGGCGACCCCCTTCTGGAAGATAACACCACACTGAAAGAAGCCTCAACGACAGACTCCAGTGCTTGTAGGATAGGTATACCTGACTCTGTAGCCTGCTACTGTGTGTGTGTGTATGTGTGCGTGTGTGTGTGTGTGGGGACCAGCCCCAAGGTTTATGATTACAGTGTTTCAATCTGCCTAATAAACTAGAATTTTAAGGATCCCGAGTTGGACATGTGTAGCCAACAGGCCCACTCTTGCTCCTGTGGGATGCTCCATCTGCCCCAGCATCACAGTGTTCATGAGCTGTGCTGGTACCTTGAGCTACGTAGAAAAAACATTTGAAGTCGTGTCTATGTCTGAATCACTGATTTTCCGAATAGGCATCGCATTTTCAGATTCAGCAGAATCAAATCAGGGACAGTGATCCAAATCAACAAAGCAAACCACCTTCTCTGATTCAGGCTGAATCCAAATGGAATAGGGCTCATTTCACACACCTCTATTGACTACTATGCATGAGCCTGAAAGCTTAGAGAAAAAGATAATTTTTGCAATTTCTCAGTTGGTCTAATAAAAGGTATCATTTTGGAACCAAGAGTTCAAGATTTTTGCATTACACATTTTTTATGCTTTTGAAGTTTTAGTCCTTGTATTTAATTCTGAAAGCGATTTTCCTCTTCTAGACACTTTTGTTACCTTGATGTTTTGCATTTCCTGAGGGTGTAGCTACTAGAAACTTTTGGGTTGCTCATGGAGATCCCTTGTAGTGCTTTGGATAATTCACTATTAAGGTGCCTGACAAAGAAGAAAAGAATAGGTGTTTTTAACTGAATGATTCTCTTTTATAAGCAGCTGTATTGTTTCACCATATTGTTTCA